CAATTTATTCTGTGTCAAATGGTGGCCTTCTCTAATGCAGGGTACAGAAGGAGGGAGAGAGGGAGGAAGACAGTTCAGAACTTAAAATATAATAGAAAAAAATTAATTTAATCTAAAAAAAGAAAAATAAACAAAATAAAAGGTACAATAAGAAATTTCAATTTCAGCTTTCAATTTCAATAATCGTTCCACCTTAAGCCATTTGTAAACCAGTGACTTAAATATTTGGGGTAGGTAGATGGTACAGTGGATAGAACACTAGGCTTGGAGTCAGGAAGACTTGAGTTCAAATCCAACCTTAGACACTTATTAGCTGTTTGACCCTGGGCAAGTCACTTAACCTTGTTTCTCTCAGTTTCCTCATTTATAAAATGAGCTGGAGAAGGAAATGGCAAACCATTCCAGTATCTTTTGCCAAGAAAAGCCCAAAAGAAGTTACAAAGAGTTGGATACAACTGAAAACAACTAAACAACAAAGACCTAAATCACCTCTCATTTATTTCATCAATCATCTCTAACATGGGAATCTAATTATCCATCAGCTACCTGAACTATTTTGGTTTAGATGTATGAATCAAATAATAAATAATCAACAAACATTTATTAAGCACCTACTATGTACCTGGCACTGTGCTAATCACTAGTGACTCAAAAAAGAAGTAAAAAACATTCCATAATGACCTCAAGGAACCTACAATCTAATAGAGGAAACAACATGAAAACAAATATACACAAAGCAAACTATATAGATAAATAGGAAATAATTAACAGAGGGAAGGCACTAGAATTAAGAGGGGTTATAAAAAGACTTTCTCTAAAAGATGGGACTGTAGTTGAGTCTTGAAGGAAGCCAGAGAAGTTAGTAGGGAGAGGTGAGGAGAGAACATTCTGAGCAAGAGGGACAGTCAGAGAAAATGCCCAGAGGTGAGCAATGGAATGCCTTGTTCATGCAACTGACAGAAGAAAGTTCTACTGGATCAAAGACTATGTAGTGGAGATTAAGATGTAAGAAGAATGGGAAAGTAAGGGAGTTGGGGGGAGGTTATGAAGAGTTCTGAATGTCAAAGAAAGCACTGGAAGCCACAGGGAGCCCCTGGAGCTTATTGAGTAGGGGAGTGATATGGTTGGACCCCGGCTTCAGAAAAATCACTTTAGTGACTGAATAGAAGATGGACTGGAGTGGGGAAGACACTTGAGGCAGGCAGACCCACCAGCCACTATTACAATTAGATAACTGTATGTAAGCATGAGGTGATAAGGGCAGTGTCAGGGGAAGAAAGGGGGAATATATGAGAGATGAAGAGGTGAAATCAACAGGCCTTGGCAACAGCTTGGATATGAAGGGGTAAGAGATAACAAGGAGCTGAAGATGACTACCAGGTCATGAGCATGAAGGACTAGAAGGATGGTGTTATCTTCGACAATAATTAGGAAAATAGGAAAGGGGAGGGTTTAGGAGAAAAGATGAGTTTGGTGTTGAACACGTGGATTTTAAGGTATTTACCAGACATTCTGTTTAGATGTCTGAAAGGCAATTGAAGATGTGAGAATAGAGGTCAACAGAAAGGCTGGGGCAGGATAGGTAGACTTGAGAATCATCAACATATTCCCCAGTTGCTAAATGGTTAAAGGATATGAACAGGCAGTCTTTAGAGGAAGAAATCAAAGCTATCAATAGATATGAAAAAATGGTTTAAAGCACTAATAATTAGAGAAATGCAAAATAAACAACTCTGAGGTATCAGTTCACAAACAGATTGGCTAAGATGACAGAAAAGAAAATGACTAAATACTGGAGGAGATAGGGAAAAATAGGTGCTTCCATGTACTGTTAGCAGAGCTGTGAACTAGTCCAAGCATTCAGGAGAACAATTTGGAACTATCCCCAAATGTCTATAAAAGGGCTTAAAGGGCTGCAAAACTGTGAATAACTTATGACCCAGCAATAATCTATATGTATAGCAACACTTTACAGCAGATCTTTTTGTGATAGTAAAGAACCGGAAACTGAGGGGATGTCCATCTGTTGGGTGAACTAGTTGTGGGATGTGACTGTGGTGGAATACTAATGTGCTGTAAGAAATGATGTGGGTGATGGTTTCAAAAAAACCTAGGAAGACCCACACGAATTAATGCAAAGTGAAATGAGCATAACCAGAAAAACATCTTGTTGTTGTTCAGTTGTTTTCAGTCATGTCTGACTCTTTAGACCCCATTTGGGGTTTTCTTGACAAAGATACTGGAGAGTTTTGCCATTTCCTTTGTCAGTTCATTTTACAGATGAAGAAACTGAGAGAAACAAGGTTAAGTGACCTTCCCAGGGTCACACAGCTAGTTAGAATCTAAGGTCAGATTTGAACTCAAGTATTCCTGACTCCAGGGCTGGTACTCAATCCACTATGACACCAAGCTGCCCCCAGGAAAAGAATGTACACAATAACAATAATATTTTAAAGAAAATCAACTGTGAAAGACTTAATAACACTGATCAATACAATAATACACTACAACTCCAAAGGATTCATGACATACAATGCTATCTATCTCCAGATAGGGAACTAATGGACTGAGAGTGTAGATTTTTTTCCATCTTTATTTTTCTTATTTGTTTGCTTTTCTAGAACATTGCTAATACATAAATATGTTTTGCAAAACTGTATATGTATAATGGACATCAAATTTCTTGCCTTATCAACTGGAGGGGGAAAGGTCAGAGGGAAGGAGAGAATGTAAAAATAAAAAATAAATTTAAATTAAAAAGACAACCATCATCACAGACATAGTAATTAGATCCATGAGAGCTGATGAAATTACCAAGTGAAGTAGTATAGAGGGCAAAAAGAAAAAGACCCAGAGAAGAACCTTGAGGAACACGTACAGTTAGAGGGAATGATATGGATGAAGATCCAGCAAGGGAGACAGAGGAGCAGTTTGATAGATAGGAGGACAACCAGAAGAGGGTGGTGTCTGGTGTCCCAAAAACCTAGAGAAAAGAAAGCATCAAGGAAGAGAAGGTAATCAACAGTGTCAAAAGGCTGCAGAGAGTTCAAGGAGAATGAGGATTGAGAAAACGCCACTGGATTTGACAACTAATAGATCACTATTAACTTTGGAGGGAGCAATTTCAGTGGAATGTTACAATCAGAAGCCAGATTGAGGAGAAAAAGTAGTGGCACCTACTGTAAATGGCCTTTTCGAGGAGTTTAGCTGTGAAGGGCAGCAAAGATAGAGTTGGTAGGGATGGAAGAATCCAGTGAGGGTTTTTCCAGAATGGGGGAGACATGGGCAGTAGGGCATGAGCCAGAGATTAAAAATAAGTGATACAGTGGGGAATGACAGAGAGGCAATCTGTTGTAAGAAGACGGATGGAAGGGGATCACCTTAGCCTTTGTAAGGAATAAGACTATCTCACTACAAGACAGGGGTGAAGAAGGAGATAATGGCAGAAGGCATCTGGGTGATAAGAGATGAAGAAGATGGGTGAAGAAGGAGTTCACAGCAAATGGCTTCAGTTTTTTTCTGTAAAATATGAGGCAAGGATTTCAGCTGAGGGTGGGAAGGAGAGGGAGGCACAGGAGGTTTGAAGAGGGATGAAAAGGTTTGGAGGAGCCTGTTAAAACTTATTCAATGGATAGTACAGTTATTCATAGACTCCTAATAACCTAGTCACCTAACAGAGTAACTCGCACATAAATTAATCTGAAGACAAAGCTAAGAAGCATTGACTGAAAATCATCTTTTCTAACTTTTGACAAGTAGGAAGTTAATGGAAGGCAATAAAAAGATCTGAGACTAATCATAACTCATACCAAGATGTAGTCATCGTATTTATAGTGATCAAATTATGAATTCTGTCAAGAAGTTGACAGAAAACCAAATTGAAGTAAATTCCAAGTATGAGTTAGGAAATGTTTTGGGTTATACTTGTATGTTTTCCAAGTAGTTCAGCTTACTTTAAAATCTGGTAATTTAATGCAGTCTTGCTATTTTACAGTAAAGACTTCAGAGACATGTTGGTGAGTTATTTCAGTGGTAATATTACACAGCACACACTAAAATTTTCAACATGGTCATTTTCATAACTGCTCATCTGCTATCCATTTCGTTAAGTGAAAATACCATTACTAGAAGGTCCATTAAAAGATGAATGGAAGTCCAAAGTTTAACTACAACCTAAAAACAGAATAAGTGAATACCACATCCAGTTGTCTACACTTTATGCCATGTTATCTCTTGGGTTAAATTATAAAGAATGATTATCATTAAGTTTTTCCATCAACTTTCAGGGCCAGCATTTGTGTTTAAAATACAATTTTTAATGATGTAGATTTTTTAAAAAAGGAAAGAAACCCTTTCTTTGCCTAAATACATCTCACCAAGCTACAAAATAAGTCACTGTAGCCTCTTTCCTACAAATTGGAATCTGGTCATTCATACAAACGAAGTAACCAACTTTATCATCTCTCCACAAAAGCATTTCAAAATTAATTTAGCTACTAATTAACTAATTGAAAAAAGCTTGTAGGTATAAGCTATTCATAGGCTAAACAGAAAGTTAGGAAATTTGGGGGCAAAAGATAGGAAATTAAACCAAGAGTTTGAGAAATATTGCTCTGTACAGAAGCCCAGAAGATGCACGAAAAATTACCAAAAATGAGCTAAATGAACTTTTAAAAACTAAGCAAAACAGTTTACCATTAATAATCCACTCACACTAATCTCAAAAATGTAAACAGAGGAGTAAGAAAGACATTTTGACAGGCAGCTAGGTGGCGCAGGCGATGGAGCACTGGCCCTGAAGTCAGGAGGACCTGAGTTCAAATCCAGCCTCAGACCAAACACTTGACACTTGCTAGCTGTGTGACCCTGGGCAAGTCACTTAACCCCAACTGTCGTAAAAAAAAAAAAAAAACATTTTGGCAGATCTTAGCTATTATTTGGTAGCAAAAATGAAGATGTCATCAAGGGTGTAGTGTGGAGTTACAAGACATGCACTTTACCTTCTTCTGTAGAACATTGACCTTCCGCTCCTTCACATCCAGCATATCCTTGAGATCATGTATTTCTCCTGCTTGGGTTCCTTTCTCCTCAACTATCTCTTGTATCTGCTTTGTCTTCTTATTCAGCATGGTTTCCTTTTCCTCCAGCCGTAATCGAAGCGCATCCACCTAATGTTTCAGAACAAAAAAAAAAAAAAATTGGATATACTAAAAAGATGGCGGTACTGTCAATTTTAACAGAATATGAATAGCTGCTACAGTGGTGCTGAAAGAAAATCCTTCATTAGAGCATGTGAAGTCAACAAGATCAGTAAAGGCACTGAAAGAAAATGAACTGGAAAACTTCAAGAACATTTAAATTAATATAAACTTTACTCTGTTTTTACCAGACTGAGATAATTGCCTTTCTCTCATACCTGAAAGAGAAATATGCAATTATGACTAAAGATGTTTAGGTGAAGTAGATCTTAAAACATAATAAAGTACAGATGGGTGAATTTAGAAAATCTCATTGTCTCAGTTACCACATTAGATACATTCTTTAAAGCATTACTTAACCAAAAAAAGAGAGAAATAAAAAAAGGGACACAAAGCTTTGGATTGACCATATCAGATAAAGAACCAATCTACCCTGCGAGACCAGAAAGGCCCATGATGCCAGGTTAAATATCAGTTTGCTTCCTGATCCCATGACTGATCAATGAGAGATCCATAACCAATCATCTTTAGGCCTCAAAGGTTAACTTTCAACATGAGCTGTCATCAGCTATGATTCTACACCCCTCCAGCACTTACTATATGTGCTCCCTCCACACCTCAGTTCTCTCCCAGGACATCACTCCTGCACTATCCACCTTCTTTCTTGACCCCTTGGGGTGATCAATTAACTGTACAACATCCTCTTCTCGAGTCTCTTTCTCCCTTATCCCATCACAATTGTGCCCTGCTCAGCTTCAGCCTTGGATCACTTCCACCATCTGCTGCCTTCACTCCTACATTCGTGCAACAGATCCCACTGGGACCACCACAAATTTATGCTACTAAATTTCAAGTGGGTCCTGAAGGCTTTTAGGCAATCCTCTTATGCTTCTCTAATTAATTCACTATCCCACTCTCCACAACAGTTCTTAACCTTTTCATTTCTCCCCAAACCTACCATGGCTTTTTCTGAAAAAAAAAATGAGGCCATTTATTGACAAGGCTCTCTTCTCCTCTCCTCATGTTACAAAATTAAGATACCTTCCCCCAATTTTTCCTCCTTTACTCCTATCTCATATGAAAAGATGAGGTGGCCCTTTTCCTGGCCAAGGCCAACCCCTCTACTTGTTCAAGTAATTCCATTCCATCCCATCTCCTCCAACAGACTGCATCACCACTCTCTCATTTAGAGATTAGGGAGCTGAGGCCCAGAGGGGCTATATATCTTGCCTAATGTCATATAGGCAGTAAGTATCAGAGACAGGATTTCAATCCTGGTATTTTGACTCCAGAGCGAATGTTTTATAAAAATAAAATGTGAAATGCTTTCATAGACTGGTCACAGGGTTAATAAACAAGTCTTTACTTTTTCTGCTTTATTTGAAATATAAGTATTTTTTAAAATTAAGAAATATAACAAACATATTATCCTACAAATTTATTACATAGCTCTAACTTCTAAAAGAATATATTTTATCTTTCTTAGAGTATGAATCCGAGGATCTTGTACTTATTTATTTAAATTACAAATCTCCCTTAACATCAGTTTCAACAGCTACATCTTCCTGCTTTATCAACTTGTAATACAAATTAGAAAGATTTAGTTTCTCAATTAATTGGCTGTAAAGGTCATATGGACAATTCTTTCCATCATGTTTTTGAAAGTGAAATCATTTAAAGCTGTTTTAATATGACTTTACGACAACTTCATTTTAACCTACTGACAGCACCAACAAAAGAACATTTGCACAATCGTCACTATCCTTATATTGCTTTTTGAAAAAACATACGGTTTTTTTAAAAAACTGGTGTAATTTAGTATTAGCATTATTCTTCTCTTGCCAACATATTCGGGATGTATACTTTACTTTCAAGATGTACTTTCGGCACAGTGGATACAGCACTGGCCCTGGAGTCAGGAGGACCTGACCTCAGACACTTGACACTTACTAGTTATGTGACCCTGGGCAAGTCACTTAACCCCAATGCCAAACAAAAAAAAACAAACAAAAAAAAAACCAAAAACAAAAACAAAAAGATGTACTTCCAATTTATTGAATTTCATACTATCTGCAGCAAAAGCATTTATACAAAGTAAACAAAGTGATTTTTTAAATATTTATCAATAGCACTATTTGTGATGAATATAATGGATCATAGTTCTAGGTGTGGGCTTTTTATTTTGTGTTTCTATATTTCCATTACTTAAAAGTCTCTATTGACGACATCTCTAATTTGACATTTTTTTGTAAATGCCATATTAAATAAGCACTGGACTATGATAATTATTAGTTGAAGTGAATTCACCTTGTTAGTCTTATTTTGGTTGACTTCTTTTTAAACTCTGTTTTTATTATAAAATGCAGACACATTTATGCAGAATAATGGAAAATATACAATAATTCGTGCAATTGCTTAAACTCACCTCTGAAAAGATCTTCCTACCATGAACCCTCTCCACCACCCTCATTCCCCCAGGCAGCTGGTCCCACAGTTTGAAAAACTCAGAAGGAGTGTCAATAGAAAAAACTATAAGCAAGAACCAGAAGCAATCAAATATAATAGTACAGTTTTTGATAAATACCAAAACACAGGGGACACCAACAAAGATGGAGAAGCAAAAGGAAGTAGTAAAGGGGGCAGCTAGGTGGCATAGTGGATAGAGCACCGGCCCTACAATCAGGAGGACCTAAGTTCAAATCCAGCCTCAGATATAATAATACTCACTAGCTGGGCAAGTCACCTAATCCCAATTGCCTCACCAAAAAGAAAAAAAAAAGATTAAGACCAACTTTGATAGACTTAGCTCTTCTCAGCAATACAATGATATGTAAGACAATTCCAAAAAACTCATGATGGAAAATGCTATCTACACCTAGATAAAGAACTATGGAGTCTGTACACTGAAGCATGTTATTTTCTCTGTTGTTTATTTGTTTTTTTTCTTTCTTGTTTTTCCCTTTTGTTCTGATTCTTCCTTCGCAACATGACTAATGTAGAACTATGTTTAATATGATTATACATATAAAGCCTATATCAGATTGTTTGCCATTGTGGAGAAGGGGGAGTGGAGGGAGAGAGAAAAAATTTGGAACTCAGAATTTTATAAAAGTGAATGTTGAAAACTATCTTAACATGCAATTGGAAAAAATAAAATACTATTAAGTGGGAGGGAATAAAAGATTAAGGAAGAGCACCACACTGGGTGAAAACCAGGAAACTCAAGAAGAAATCACAGTGAGTCATTTTTTAAAACCCAGGTCAGCACAGGGTAATAGTAAGAAGCCTTACAGATACTGGGAAAAGGGTAGAGCCAAGAGGACTCAAGGAGAGAGAGCCTTCCAACAAAGGGACTACACTGGGGCCTAAGGTGCTATGTTATAGGATAAGGAAGAAGAGATGCAGACCCAGGACTGGGACTGACACTGTGAACTATGGAAGAAGCCAGTCTGCAGCTGTGAGGATCTGACCTTAAATCATGGTTTCAGATTCAGCCCACTGACTGACACAGGGGGGGGACTGACAGCTAAGTAATCAGGCCAAGGAGCTCAAAGGGTGAGCCTATCATTCTGTCATGATGAACCTGCAGAATATTCCACATAGCTGCAGGAACTAGAACCAGGAAAAAGTCTAATGGAGCTTCAACAAAGAGTACACCTTCAGTAGTGTTGCCCAGACTCAAACCTGAGTTAGGAGCTTCCAAAATCAGCCCAGAAAAGCAGCAATCAGACTCAGCACTAGATCACAATTGCTAAGGGTATGATAAAAGTTAAAGATAAAAAAAGGTAAAAGCACGTCCTGGATTTGAGCCGTAACTGAAATCTTTTGAAAACACAATACTCAATATTCAGAGTGAGTAGCACAGGACCCCCCACAGAATACATATCAGGACCAAAAAAGGCCCTAAGATTTTTTTCCAAAAGTATGCAGTACCTGACACGAAGTCCTAGTTCAAAAAGCAAGGCTGAAAAAATAAGCAAGCAAACAAAAAGACATCTGGGATTTTGAAAAAAACTGTCATGGAGTCAAGAACAGCTAAGACAAAATAATAACAACAATAAAAGAAGTGAATAACACCACTCAAAGGAAAATACAGCTTGGCCAAAAGGTCAGCTTGAATTTCTGGGAGAAATGAAGTTTTAAAATATCATAAATGAAATGAGATATCTTAAGGAATAAATTAGAAAAGAAATGAAAGCACTAGAAGAAAGTCTTAGAAAGAGAATTTTACCACTTAATAGAAATGGCACATAACTTGAACCAAGTAACTGATGATGTGAAAATTATACTGGACTAAGCAGAAGTTAAAGATTCTACCTGAAACCAAAAATAGTACAACAAAGTCAAAAGACAGGGAAAAAAGAGGAAAAAAAAAGTTATCTCACATAAAAAATGACTAATATGAAAAACAAGGAGAAAAAAATCTACAAATCATTGGACTCTCTGAAAGTCATGATCTGTTTAAAATAAAAATGGATATATCATGTTTCAAGAAATGAATGAATTAATGGAATGGAAAAATACTGTGCTATAAGAAATTATGTGTATCATGAATACAGAGAAGCATGGAAAGAGCTACATGAAAAAATGCCAAGTGAAGTAAACAGAGTCAAATACCTAAGGAAATTAACTCAGACCACTGGCAGACCAAACACTGAAGGTGCAGCTTAAATACTTTGGCCACAGAATGAGAAGAAAGCACTCACTGGAAAAAACGCTGATCATGGGAAAGACTGAAGGCAAAAGGAAAAGGGAATGACAGAGGATGAGATGGACAGTTAGTGCGACAGAAGCAATGAACATGAGATTGGGCAGGCTTCAGGAGTAGAGGGCAGAAGGGCCTGGCATGCTATGGTTCATGGGGTCACAAAGAATTGGACACGACTGAATGACTGAACAACAACAACAAAAACATCTGTGATATAAAATGAAACCAGAAGAAAGAAGGAACTTGCAGTTAAATGGAAGGA